CCTGGCCAACTCGCATCCTGAAATCCAGGGGTATCACATATAGGATGTTCTTGAGTTACAGGCCCTTGGATGGAACTTCCAGGTTAAAATTACTGCATGAAATTGTCAGCGATGCCAAGACCAAATTAGAAACAGAGGTTGGTCCAGTGAATGGAGTTTCGTCCAAGATGTCACGGGGCATCGTCAGCAGACTTTCTGTTACAGGTGATGTGCATAAACTCTATTCTCTTGCAATTGAAAAGGCAGATGAATGGCTGGCCACTATTTCTAACAGGAATCCAAACTACGGAGGTTATTACCCATAAACATTTGTCTATATTTACTTCCAATCATTCAAAAGAATTATAGGCAAGTGCTCGGATGGGGGCGAGACGGTGACAGCGAGCTTTCGCAACGGTGGGCAACGGGTTGTGGAGAGGACTCAACCGCGATGAGGTGCTTTGGAGCGTGATGGCAGCAGCGAGCTTGCCTTCAGACGATGGTGGTGGTAGTGGAGCCGCCACTAATGACGACTCATGGTGCAATTGATTTGGGGTGATTACCAGTGACGACTCGTGTGTGTGTGTGTGTATATATATATATATATATCGATTGAGCTTGGGTGTTTCAGTACGAATTACTGTATTTGAATTGATTCAATTGGGAAATTGTTTGAGAACCGTTTGTGGCTACGGCGATGATGGCAGTGGCTGGACTGGTTCACTATAAATTATATGAATTTCTTAAAATTATGGTTCAATTGCTTTGGATGGTGGTGGCAGTGGGATTTTAGTGTGGTTTGGGTTAAACGGCTTTCGGTGTGGAAGATGAGCTTGTCGGTGTGGAACCACAAACGCTCGCTGTTGAAGATAGTGAACAGTTATAGGGCGTGTTTGGGAAATTAAGGGCATTTTAGTCCTTTCATGCGTATAAGGGCAGTATGGTCTTTTAAAATAAGTAAACTATTTTTAACGGCCAAAAGCTGCCGGATTCCTGTCGGATGGAGTCATCTGCAACAAAATTGAATAGTCCAGGGGATTAATTGCAACTTTTGTAATTCAGGGGGGTTAGTTGCAACTTTGCCAATAGTTTAGGGGGTTTTTTTGCATTTAACCTTATTTTTTTATGATTCCATAAAGATTTTGGGTAAGATAAATCCCTTACCTTATCTTATTTCTCTTTTGACTTTGAGTTGCGTATTATTTTTACCCTTATCACTAAGTTTTTATAATTTCTGTCACGTTGTATTTTTCATAAATAAAATGCATTCCTCATGTCTTTGAATGGTGAATCAATTTTCTATTAACATTATATTCGGGAAATATTTTTTATTAAAATAACTTGAATAGCCGCAGATGAAAAGGAAAAACAAATGGTGAAAATATAGTGTGAGTAATCTCAGCCATTCACTTCAATGGCGTGTTGTACTTGAACATCGTAGCCATTCAATTCATGGATTGCCTTGCCAAATTTGGGCCCCACTGTACCATGACTAAGGTTCTCTTAACTGTCAATACTACCTTTTGTAATTTATGGACACGAAATTATATTATACTAGGAAAAGGCACGTGCGATGCACGTGGTGAATATTTTGTAACTTATAAAATTTTTGTCTTCATATTGATTAATAAAAATTTATTTTATATTAATAAATAAATACTGAAATATTTAGAAATTGGTGATAGAGTTTAAGTTTCGTAAATTAATAAATTCTCTTTATGTTTTTATATTAATACTGAAATATGTATATTTTATTTTTTTATTAAATAATAGTATTTTATTTTAATAGTGAAATATTTGAGTTTTGCAAAGTAACAAATTTTTTTAGGAAATTTGAATTTTATTAGGTAATTTGTAATTTGAATTTTATTAGATAATTTGAAATTTAGTATAATTTTTAATTTACAATAGAAATTCAATTATATTAATTTTTAATTAAATTTTAAAATAGAAATTCAATTATACTAACTATACATTAGATTGAAATTGATATAAAATTTTATTATATGGAGTTTGTGGTTTTTGGAAGACCCTAGGTTATATTTTATTTTCTTTAAATATGTAATTTGTGGTACAATTTTTTAGAAATTATTTTATTTTATTAAGATATATCTTTGTAAAATTAGATTTTCTTTTAATAAAAAACTCATAAAAAATAGATAAATACAAGGGTTATATACTTATATGTGATAGAGTTATCTTTTTGTATTAATTAATAAATATTTTTCATATTAAAAAATAAATACTGAAATGTTCAAATTCTTTAACATTAATATTTTATTTATATGTATTATTATATTATTATATATTTTCTTTAAATATATCCTTGTTTAATGTGATAGAGTTATAGAAATTATTTTATTTTCTTTAAATGTATCCTTATTTAATTAGATTTTATTTTATTAGAAAACTTATAATAAATAGATAAATGCAGGTTATATGTGATAGAGTTTTAAAGAAAATAAAATACTTAATTTGTGGTAAAGTTTTACTAATTTGTGTTAGAGTTTTATAAAAACTATTTAAATATATCATTATCTAATGTGATAGAGTTTTATTACAAATAAAATAGGTAATTTGTGGTAGAATTTTATATAAATTATTTATTTTCTTTAAATATATATATCCTTGTCTAATTATATTTTTTTATATTAAAAATCTCATAATAAAAGATAATTTGTGGTAGAGTTTTAGATAAATTATTTTATTTTTTCTACCAATTATTAAATATTTTTTATATTAATAATTCTTGTCTAGTTATATTATATTTTATTAAAAAATTCATAATAAATACATAAATAGGTAATTTTTATTAGAATTTTATATAAACTCTTTTAAAAAAATATTTTATTTTCTTTAAATATATCGTTATCTAATTAAATTTCCTTCATAAAAAAACTCACAATAAATAGATAAAAACAAGTTATATGTGATAGAGTTTTAAAGAAAATAATATAGATAATTTGTGTTAGAGTTTTATGGAAATTATTATATTCTCTGGAAATCTATTTATAATAAATAAATAAATAGGTAATTTGTGTTACAGTTTAATAAAAATTCTTTAAAAAATAATTTTTATATCAATTAATAAATATTTTTTTATATTAATAATTGTTGTCTAATTAGATTTCCTTTTATTAAAAAACTCATAATAAATAGATAAATAAGTAATTTGTGTTAGATTTTTATAGAAACTCTTTTCAAACCTCTTTTTATATTAATTAATAAATATTTTTTTTATCTTAATAATGCTTGTCTAATTAGATTTTCTTTTATTAAAAAAGCTCAAAATAAATAGATAAATAGGTAATTTGTGATATAGTTTTATATAAACTCTTTTAAAAACTCTTTTTAGATCAATTAATAAATAATTATTTATATTAATAATACTTGCCTAATTAGATCTCCTTTTATTAAAAAACACTTAATAAATATATAAATAGAAAATTTGAGTTAAAATTTTATAGAAACTCTTTAAATATTATATCTTTGCCTATTGTGATAGAGTTTTGTTGAAAATAAAATTTGTGATTTGTGATAGAGTTTTATAAAAATTATTTTAATTTCTTGAAATATATCCTTGTTCAATTAGATTTAATTTTATTAAGAAACTCATAATAAAAGTTAATTTATGGTTGAGTTTTAGAAAAATTATTTTATTTTATATATCAATTAATAAATATTTTTTATATTAATAATTTTAGTCTAATTAGATTTTATTTTATTAAAAAATTCATAATAATAAATAGATAAACAGATTAACTTAAATTTTTATTAGATAGATTTTAGAGTTTGATTGACATTTTTCTTTTTTCTTTTTTTTTTTTTAAATAAAAACTCTTTGCATATATATATATATATTTTTTTTGAAAGCAAAAATGTTATGATATTCCAATATAATTATAAAAATTGCACCTACATTGTGTGTACATGAGAAATAAAAATTTAGTAATGTGCATGTCTGACTATCTTGGACTCTATTTTTAAGTAAGTGCAATGAATGAGCATGGTGGATGATAGATGGTGCATTGTATATATATTTATTACACTATTTTTTATATTCTTTGAATCCTTTTTTTTTTTTTTTTTTTCTTTCTCTCTCTTCAATAATTTCAATTCAAATTTATAAGGCTTTAGAAAAATTGTATTTTTGTGTGATGGGTTCATATGTACATGCATTTGAAAACTGTGTATTGGATGTGAAGTTACCAAGGCAGGGAATCCATTGCACTAACCCTTCCCAGGATGTGAAGTTAAAGTTATCTATTGAAAAATAGACCTATATGAAGCTGTGTCTCGGATTGAGGAGGTGTTTTGCTTTTTCTGAAATTTTGATTCCTTGTGTTTTCTTTTAGGGTTTCCTTGCCGCCATGGACTCTTCTTTTTCCCTGTAAGTATCAATTACCTTTATTTATATATATATATATATATAAACAACCATAGGTTTGATTTTGTAATCATATTTTAAAAAATGAACAACATTTGACAAAGGCAAATTAGAGTGAGAAACGAGGTAAAAATTATATATATATATATATATATATATATATATATATATATTATTTTGTTGTTATACAGAAACGTCCTTTACATTCTTAACTAGATCCGATTTCTAAGAATTTTTTGATTGTTCATGATTATATAAAAATAAAAAATAATAGAAAAATAATCTGACATCGAATAAATTTTATATGAAAATAAAAATACTATTTGATTTTATGTAATTTAATAAATATAATACAATACTCAAATATTATGTTAATCATTGATGTGATTGAAAATATTATTTTTTAATTGATTGGTGGGCTGTCAGGCACCCTGCAAAGGCTCAGAAACAAATGATATAGGCCCCACCTGTACCCATCACTGGGGTTCACACAAAAGCCAACACTTTCTTGTATTTTACGTGGCACGATGCCCAAAATTGTGTTTTGGTAATTTATTGGTGTTTTTTCTTTTTCTGTAAGTCCAAAATTATGGGCTGTAAATATCATCGCTGGAGAGTGGCCCTTTCGGCAAGCAATGATAGTTATTTTGAATTATGATATATTAATAATGACCTACCAACTACGTAGCGTAGGTTACAAACATGAAAAAATAATGGCATCTTAGTAATCCGCCGGAACCAAGATACCTCTGCTCTGCTCTGCTGTTGAGCAGCAGCCACATCATGCCGGAGTCGGGGATAATTTTCTTTGATGCACCAGGCGGTAGAGCATCGGACGTTCTCATGGAGACGGGCCATAAGATTCAGGTAATTATAATAATTCTACGGATCGAGAAATACATAGAATTCAACATAGTAAAATAAAAAGTTAAAAATTTTCGTTGAAATTATTCATTTGGAAATTTACGAGTCTAATATATCTTCTTTTAATGCCTATCATATAATTTTTATGTGTTCACCAGAGTCAGTTAATTCCATATAATTTTTTTAAATTCAATTATTTTATATATATATTTTAATTTTTTGTTATTGATTTGATCGCAGTAAAATAAGAAATTGAAAGATTTCGTTGAGATTGTGGTTTGAAAATTTTGATGTGGAAAATATCTCATGAATCTCATCTCCATGAGATTAATTATTTTAATTCAGATCTTATAATTTTTGTGGATTGAATCTCATCTATATGATTTATTATTATTTATTTATTTATTTTTTGTGCTTGATTTTATTAGGATAAGAGTTCCTTAATCATGTCCACGTTTTGTAAGGTTGTCATTGAAGAACAGATTAAATTCGGATGGATCATGGATATGATAACAGCTTTTTTTTTTCTTAAACCAATTATTTTTTTTAGATTTGAAATTAGAATTGAACACAGTAAAATAATAGATTGAAAGATTTTGTTGTAATTGTTCGTTATTAGATTCAGTTAATTCCTTATGATGGAATGAGTTCTCCAAACATATCAAATTTAGAGTTGAGGATGGTAGGGATGTAAGGTTTTGGAAGGATTTTTGGTGTGGTAATTGTATCATTGCTTCTTCATTTGTCAAATTGTTTTGGATTGCCGTTGATAGTCATGTCTCAATTGCTTATTGCTATCGGCTTGATAGTGGGAAGTTGACTTGAGATGTGCGGTTCATGCGAGCATTTCAGGATTGGGAGTTGGACGATATTTGCGGGTTGTTAGATCGTTTATATCGGCTCGAGATCCATGGCGAAGATAGAGATTCGTTCGTTTGGGTGCTTGCTTCGCAGGGAATATTTGAAGTGAGATCTTTTTTCCGATTCCTCTCAAATACTACAGGGATTACGTTTCCGTGGAAAACAGTGTGGAGATCTAAGGTGCTACTTAAAGTGACGTTTTTTACTTGACAATGGTGTGGGACAAGATCTTGACGCTTGATAATTTAAGGAGGCGAAGACAAATCACAGTTAACTGGTGTTGTATGTGTAAGTCCAATGGGGAATCGATGGATCATCTTATTATGCATTGTCCAGTGGCCTTGGATTGTTAATGTCTTTTGCTTGGAATGTTTGGGATTTCGTGGGTTATGCCTCGATCTTTGATAGGATTGATGGAGGCTTGGAGAGGGTGCTATGTGAGAGACCATGCTCATTGGTTTTGGAGGATGGAACCCTCGTGTTTATGGTGGTGTTTGTGTAGGGAGCGGAATAATATATATTTTGAAAGAAATGAATCATCAATTGCTATTCTTAAGTCACCTTTTATTACATCTTTATGTTTTTGGGGTTCGGGTAGGTTTTGTTCCTCCCCAGAGGAGATATTTATTTTATTTCTTCTTTGGGACCATAGGATCCCTTTCTTGTCATTGGGACATGTTCCCCTTTTGAAAGTTTTTTTAAATGAATTTGTTTAATTATCAAAAAAAAAAAATTTCCGTCTAATTTTTTTATTCTATTATTATTATATAAATTTGTAATTAATTTGATCGTAAAATAAAAAATTGAAAGATTTCGTTGAGATTGTTCTTTTGGAAATTTACGAGTCTAATTTATTTCTCTTAATCCCTATCTTATTATAATTTTTGTGGTTTGTCCAATTAGATTGAGTTAATTCCATATGATTTTTTTATTCTATTATCTTATATATATATATATATATATATATATATATATATATTGTTATTGATTTTTGATTTTTTGTTATTGATTTGATTGCATAAAATAAGAAATTGAAAGATTTCGATGAGATTGTTTGTTTGGAAATTTTGGAGTCTAATATATCTTTTTTAGATTCCCATCTTATAATTTTTGTGGGTTGGCCAATTAGATTGAGTTAATTCTATATGATTTTTTTTTACTCTATTATTTTAAAAAAATTTAAATAAAATTTTTTATTGATTTGATAGCAGTAAAATAAGAAATTGGAAGATTTTGAAAATTTTGGTGTCGAATATATCTCATGAATCTCATCTCCTTGAGATTGATTTTTGGGTTGAATCTCATCTATATGATTTTTTTATTTGGTTATTCCATACCCTTTTTAATTTATATATTAATGTTTTTTTGTGGTTGAATTTATTAGGATAAGAGTTCCTTAATCATGTCAACGAGATTAATTATTTTAATTCCGATCTTTATTATTTTTGTGGGTTGAATCTCATCTATAAGATTTTTTGTATTTGGTTATTTTATACTCTTTTTAAATTTTTTTTTTTCTTTTTGTGCTTGATTTTATTAGGATAAGAGTTCCTTAATCATGTCCACGTTTTGCTAGGTTGTTATTGTAGAACAGATTAAATTCAGACGGATCATGGATATGATAACAGCTTCTTTTTTTTAATTCTTTCTTAAACCAATTATTTTTTTTTTTTAAGATTTGAAATTAGAATTGGTGCAAGTGATGATGAAGACCTTATTGTTTTTGCTCCCCTGAGGCATATACTTTCTTGTATAAATTTGTGTTGGACGTAATACTTCTTACTTTACAACCTGCATTTCTAAACTGTAACGTTTATTGCTTTCGTAATTGAATTTTCAAATGGAAATTTTGATTCATTTGGACTTCGGCTTAAAAGCTTTCAATTTTCCCGAGCAATTACTTCCTTCTTTATGGCTATTACAAATTACAATATTATCAGTAATAGGAAAAATGATCTTATACTGTTTAGCTTGATCTATTCTCCTGCTTGATTTTGTAAATGAATATATATCATTTTGTTGTTCCCATGTTGATTTAATATTTATTGCCTGAGACTTTAACATTGCCGTTTACTATGTTACGTGTTCTTAGATTGCTTTATTCATTAAAATATATAGAATTGAACACAGTAAAATAATAGATTGAAAGATTTGTTGTAATTGTTCCTTATTAGATTCAGTTAATTCCATATGATGGAATGAGTTCTCCAAACACATCAGATTTAGAGTTTAGGATCGCAGGGATGTGAAGTTTTGGAAGGATCTTTGGTGTGGTGATTGTATTCTTGCTTGTTCATTTCCTATATTATTTTGGATTGCTGTGGATAGCTATGTCTCGGTTGTTGATTGCTATCGGCTTGATAGCGGGAGGTTGACTTGGGATGTGCTGTTTATGCGAGCGTTTCAGGATTGGGAGTTGGACGATATTTATGGGTTGTTAGATCGTTTATATCGGCTCGAGATTCGTGGTGGAGACAGAGATTCGCTCGTCTGAGTGCTTGCTTCTCGGGGAATGTTTGAAGTGAGATCTTTTTTTCTCTCAGATACTATTGGGATTACGTTTCCGTGGAAAACAGTGTGAAGATCTAAGGTGCCGTTTAAAGTGGCATTTTTAACTTAACAGTGGTGTGGGGCAAGATCTTGACGCTTTATAATTTGAGGAGGCGAAGACAAATTACAGTTAACTGGTGTTGTATGTTTAAGTGCAATGGGGAATCGGTGGATCATCTTCTTATGCATTGTCCAGTGGCCTTGGGTTGTTGGTGTCTTTTGCTTGGAATGTTTGGGATTTCGTGGGTTATGCCTCGATCTACGAGAAGATTGATGAAGGCTTGGAGAGCGTGCTATGTGGGAGACTATGCTCGTGGGTTATAGAGGATGGCGCCCTTTTGTTTATGGTGGTGTTTGTGTAGGGAGTGGAGTAATAAATATTTTGAAGGAAAGGAATCATCGATTGCTATTCTTAAGTCAACTTTTATTACATCTTTATGTTTTTGGGGTTCGGGTAGGCTTTGTTTCTCCCCGTAGGAGATGATTGATTTTATTTCTTCTTTGGGACCACAGGATCCCTTTCTTGTCATTGGAGCACGTTCCCTTTTTGAAAGTTTTTTTTATTTAATTTGCTTAATTATCAATTAAAAAAAAATCCATCTGATTTTTTTGATTCTATTATTATTATATATATATATATATATATATATATATATATATATATATATATCTTGTAATTGATTTGATCGTAAAATAAAAAATTGAAAGATTTCGTCAAGATTGTTCTTTTGGAAATTTACGAGTCTAATTTATCTTCTCTTAATCCCTATCTTATAATTTTTGTGGTTTGTCCAATTAGATTGAGTTAATTCCATATGATTTTTTTGATTCTATTATTTTATACTTTTTTATTTTTATTTTTGATTTTTTGTTATTGATTTGATTGCATGAAATAAGAAATTGAAAGATTTCGTTGAGATTGTTTGTTTGGAAATTTAGGAGTCTAATATATCTTTTTTTAATTCCCATCTTATAATTTTTGTGGGTTGGCCAGTTAGATTGAGTTAATTTTTTATGATTTTTTTATTCTATTATTTTATACTTTTTTTAAATAAAATTTGTTATTGATTTGATAGCAGTAAAATAAGAAATTGGAAGATTCGTTGAGATTGTTCGTTTTGAAAATTTTGGTGTCAAATATATCTCATGAATCTCATCACCTTGAGATTGATTTTTGGGTTGAATCTCATCTATATGATTTTTTTTATTTGGTTATTCCATACCCTTTTTAATTTATTTATTAATGTTTTTTGTGGTTGAATTTATTAGGATAACAGTTCCTTAATCATGTCCATGTTTTTTTTCAGGGTTGTTATTGAAGAACAGATTAGATGTGGATGGATCAAGGAGATGATAACAGGTTTTTTTTTTTTAAAACCAATTATTTTTTAATTTGAAATTAGATTTGAAAAAGTAATTGAAATTGGATTCAGTAATTGTAACTTGTAATAAAGGAATTTGAAAATGAATAAAATTTGTATCATTTGGAGTACGAGATGAAGTTTGTATAAGGGGAGATGTAAGACCCTTTGTAGAAGGGTGGTGGGGTAGTTTTGATAAGTTAAAAAAATTAATCTGAAAGTTAACGGTTTGTTAGTAATTTTGCTGGTTGTGTTTTTTTTTTTTTTTTTTTTTTGGCCCTACTGGTCCGTTGGCCAACTCCAGAAAGACAACGAGCCACCAAATTGCAGTAGTATTCTAAGTTAAACATTGCTCGACTTTAGAATTTTGATATATTCACGATTTTAAAAACGTTGTGTCATGGAAAGGTAAAGAACTTACATATAGTATTTCGCATTTTCACACCCAAGCGATGTAGAATTTGTGAGCACACATAGCTCGCATCAGAGCCTTGCCTCTTACAGGCCTGCTCCCTCCCACCAAGCCTCACAATTCCACCCTCTTTGGGGGCCGACGTCCTCGTCGGTACACTTCCGATTGGATTAATCTCTGATACCATTTGTAATAGCTCTTACCCAACAAACATAATATTTTTCGTTTTTGACTCATCTGGACAAGAAATTTCCTAGGAGGTCACCCATCCTAATACTATCCCTACCCTAAGTTAATCACGCATAACTCTAGAGTTTTGATAGGTTTACGGCCATTGCGCTTTTAAAACGCGTTGTTTCATAAAAGGTAATGAACCTACGTATAGTACTTTATCTTGTCACACTGAGGCGATGTTAGACTTTTGAGTACACCTAACTCACACTGGAACCTTGCCTCTCACATGCTTGCTAACCTCACAAGACTATGTAGAATCCAACTCTGGAAAAATGAATTTCTGTTGTACATTTTAAAACAAAAACATGATCCTACAGAATCCACTTTCGTTAAAATTGTTCGTTTTGAGATTTACGAGTCTAATATATCTTCTTTTAATTCCCCATCTTATAATTTTTGTGGGTTGGCCAATTAGATTGATTTAATTCCATTTTTTTTGTTCTATTATTTTATACTTTTAAAAAATAATAATAATAAAAATAACTTGTTCGAACTTTAAATTATTCAAGTTCAACTCATTCTCGCTCATTTGCTATCCCAATAATCCTCCCTTTAAGGTTGAAGGCATTGGGTGACTCAACATGTCCAGGGTTTGAAGATTTCTTTGATACCTTTAAATTGATTTTAGGAGCTTAGCGACATGTTCTATCATCTATCTGTATCCTCCCTTGGGAAAGAAAAACATGTTGGGAATTAAAGGTTTTAAAGCTTTTTAATTGTGTGTTTGTTATATTTTATTCACTTTAAATTAAGTATCCCTTTTTGCTCATTTTCCTTCTATAATTAAAAATCATATATTTTACATGGATTCGAATTCCCCATTGTGATGAAAATCACATGACCTATCACATGCCTTGAAATTTAGAAGCATAATTGACTGTCACTTAAAATTAATTAAAATGGCAATTGCACATTCTTATAAAGAGTATTTTATTTTTGGAATATTAATTAGCTCCAAAATAAATCAACATTTTCAACACATAAGAATAATGTGTGATTATATATATATATATATGTGTGTGTGTTTTGATTCATGAATATATTTGTATAAATGTATTAATTTTTATTTAAATTAAATTTATATATATAAATTTAGGTGCACAACTTTATTTAAAGTATATGCGTCTATAAATATGATAATTGATGGAAAGGGGTTTGTGGTAAGAAGTTGAGAGGGGAGGGGATGATGACGGTCGTTAAAAGGTGAAAATGATCATGATTAGGACGTGGAGGTGCGAGAGGTGATGGGGAGATATTGAAGGTGGAAGAAAATAAATATAATAATGACAAGTAACACTAATCAACGCCATTAATTCTTCTCCAGTAATAACGTCTAATAGCATTATATTTGTCAACCTTTACTCCAGTGTATGTACATGAGAGGGGAAGAGTTACCAATCTAGTGTATAGCTAGTGCCTGACAGTGAAACTTAAAGATAGAATTTTTGTGGCTAATCCTTGAACCACCCTTTGGCTATCTTGGGGCTCGTTCCACTTTTAAAAAAGTGCAATGAATGGACAGTGGGTGACTGATAAATCAAATTTGCCCCGAGAGGTGGTGGAACCTCTCACCTAACAACATAATAAAGAATGATTATAAAACCCATGCTACTTTTCCTCCAAATATCCTTCGAATCCACATTCATAATAATATTTGAGTAATATGAAATTGAGTCTCTAAAGTTTTAATCCTCAATTTATTTATTTATTTTGTTGTTGTGTGTTTTTGTTCTCTCCCTTCAATTCACCAGACTTTTTGACATATATTTTGTATTTTTCTGTGGTGGCTTCCAATGCACATTTGAAAACTCATACCAAGACCGGGAATCCACTGCCCTAACTTTTCCCAGGATGTGAAGTTAAAGTTACCTTTGGCAGCTGGCAAAATAGACCCCATATGAAACCCTGTCTCGGATTGAGTAGATGTTTTTGCTTTTTCTAAATTTTTTTTTCCTTTTGTTTTCTTTTAGTTAGGACTCTTCGTTTTTTCTTCTTTTAATACAATTATCAATTACCAAATATATATATACATATATATAAACAATCATAGGTTTGATTTTGGATTCATTTTATTTTATTTATTTATTTTTTTAACAATGAAGAATATTGAGAAAGGGAAATTAGAGTGAGGACTACATAGAATAATCTAATTTTAACATATTGCATATTTTTAACAACGTAAAGTCAAAGAAAAAAATGATTATTCAATTTCGATATTCCTCCTCAGATCCGAATTGTAAGACTCAATATGTTATGTAAATTTTAAATTTTTTTTTTTTTTTATTGCCTTGATTATATAAAAACAAAAAATAGTACGAAATTACTTGACCTTGAATTGTTGAATTTTATTATTAAAAATTAATTTTAATGAAATGGTGGTAGAGAACAGTGACATCAGCCTTTTAAAGTATTTAAAAGGCGTGACAAGAAGGATTCTAGAGTTCAAACCTTTATTTGGCACATGCTAGATGATGGGGTCCATTTGAAGTCTTGCATAATTAGGGTGTTTGGTCAAATTGCATTAATTATGGTGAATCTGCATCATTTTGGTAAATTGCATTATTAGGGGGTTTGGTCAAATTTCATTATTTTGGTAATTGCATTTATTATGAAAATCCGCATTATTTTGGTAAATTGCATCAATTAAGTTATTTGTTACTTTATTAAATTAGAGTCAACTTTTGATTACCTCCATTGTAGGGTAATCCAAGGGTCATCTTTTATTATAAAAATGATACTAGGTAACTCTGAATACTCAACGAACGATTGAATAAAATTATCCTTTGAGAATTCTTTGTGAGTGATTCACAAATTCTGAGGGTGTGAGGCCTTCTTTAGGTGTGATACCTAGGTCCTATTGGAGTGATTCCAATAGGCTTTTCTTTGTTAATTTCAATCATTCTTTTCTACTAACAACTGCGGAATCTTAACTTTGTTTCTGAATTTTCAGCCCATAACTCTTATTTACTTTCTTCTATTGAAGTCTGTCCTTTGTCCTACATCAGTTTTTTGTATCAGAGCCTAAGTAGACATTATGTTTACTCAATCGGCCAATGAAAGATTGGACAATAAACATTACAAAATTTGGAAAAACTTAGAAGGCTGAATGCTCAATGTGATATGATAGGGGCTCGAATTTCCCAGCCTTTTAACAAATCGGTAGCCTTTAAAGAAAAATATGCATTAGGTACTAATGATGGCAGAAACCGCAAGCAACAACAACCTTTACACTCTCCTACATCAAATGGTGGGCTGGGATCTACAAAGATACATAAACCTTAAAAAGATGAGAATATAGTGTGATTGATTTCAACTGTTATTGCATATAATAAACCCTATAATAAATCAATAACACTTCAATTTCTCTTGGTATATATCTTCTAGGGGTGCACCCGGTTCGGTTTGATCCAATTTTGAAGATTTTTTGAACCAAACCACTTCACGGTTTCAGATTCGAACTAGACCATTTGAGTTATGGAACCGAACCAGCCCAAACCGTGAAAAAATGGGTTGGTTCGGTTCGGCTCCACGATTTTAGTTGAATATTTTTTCCCTTAATTGTATATACAACAAAAATAACAATAAAATCATTTACATTCCCGAATCTGGGAATAAAATAGTGAGATAAAAAGAGAAGGGAAAATGGGTGAAATAGATCCAAAAGCTAAACCCTAGAAATTAAAATAAGGTTGAATCTTACTGAAACTGAAAAGGATGACAAATCCTTGGTTGAAAATTAAGAAACTTGATTCGTTATCATTGTTGGTTGTGTTTGAGGCGCAAACACGCTGTGAGACTCAGAGATTTGTGAATTGAAAGTGAGAGAGAAGGGGAGAGAGTATGAGAAATGATGTCACTGATGGCAACGATAAAAGACAACGGCAATGACCGAACTTCGAAGGTTGCGTGAGAGAGATTGATCAATAACTGGATATCGCGACGATGACAACTAAGAAGTGAATGAGGCAACGTGAGCAACGAAAAAAAAATGAGATAGTAGAGGAATGTTGGAACGTACCCAAAAATCAAAACATTAGAAGAAAGAAAGCAAATAAAAAAAATATATCAGATAGTGATGAATGTTGGTTCACGTTTGATCGTTGTGCCGAAATCCTTTGCAATGTTAAGAGTAGTATATATGTATTTGATTTGGTATTTTCTGGCCACGATTAAATTTCAAAGAGATCCCAGTAAAGATGGAGAGAATTCTAGAGAGCAATAGAGAGAGTGCATAAGAGAATATATAAATTTATATACACGTAGGTGCATAAAATTTCGGCCCGAATATGATGATTCGACCCGAAAGATTAAACACTAACACTTAATCAAGAAAATATGCAAATAGTAAATAGA